AAAAAGAAAGAGAAATTATTTTTATTTTTTTAAAAAAAATTACACTTTGAAAATCTAAGCTACGGTGAAACAAAAATTTTATTTTTTAAATTTTTTTTTTTGAAAATTTTTTCTCATTGGCAAATTTTATTTTCGAGATTCAAAAGCAGAGATTAACCGACAATCAACAACCGTTCTTGAGTTTTTTAAATACTTATCTCTCCCGCGAACGTGACGTGGGCATGCCATGAAGGCATGGAAGGAGGAGCTTTCTAGGTGACTGGACGCGGGCACGTCATGAGGGCAAGAACCCTTCTGACCGTGAACTCTCCATGTGACTTGACGCGGGCACGTCAAGGAGATCGAAACCCTTTTTACCAAGCACCAGGAGATCGCAATGTGTCACGCGCCCAGTTGGCGCGGGCGCGTCATGTCAAAGAGATACCTATGAATCATCAAAAACGAAAATTGAAACCATAAATCAGTCAAATCCAAGAAAAAATATATTTAAACTAACGAACAAAAAATAAACAAATAACTAAAAGAAATTGGGTTGCCTCCCAATGAGCGCATTTTTTTAATGTTTTTGGCTAGACATTGTCATATTTGTTCAGGGAGGATAAAATCTTGTGGCTCGTTTCAATGCTTCATCCTCTATATAGTCCGATAGCCCTCGTAAATAGAGTAATCTTTGAGCACACGAGCTACGGTCTTCCTTGGACTAATAAATGGTGTCAAACAAGTCAACGATAATTTGAATTCTCCATTCATTCCTCCCTCACTTGCATTTATTGGTTCAAGATATCTTGCCATGATCACTCTTAATTTATTCCTGTCATGAAATTTAAAATTTTCTGGTATAATAAAGTCAATTTCATTAGCAGGAATTGAACAATAAGAGTCAGGAGAATATTGATGAAGGAATGGATGAGATGTCACCGCATTTAAAGATTGTTCATTGGATTCATTCACTTGAACGAGTTGATACTGGGGTCTCATTTCTTGCACTTCAACTTCCTTTTCAACTGTAGCTTTAGATCTGTTTTTTTGAAACTCTTGCAGTTTCATGTCATTTGGCCGGACAATTGCACTCTCATCTTCCTCAAGGTTGGTATTGGTTTGTGCAGGCAATTCTTCAAGGTGAGAAGCCAATCGCGTTATCCTGGATGTCAATAGATGTACTTGATCTGCTATCTCGGATGTCAATAGTTGCACTTGATCCACCATCGCTTGCATCTCCTGTTGAAATCGATATGAATTAACAATTAGTAATTCAATCATTTCTTCAAGAGACATACCTGACACGGAGGATGATTGCTGAGACTCTTGCTGTTGAAAATTCATTGGCCCGGTCGCATAATTAAAATTGAAATTATCCCACCCTCCTTGATCATACCTGTTTGGGTAAGGGTCATACCACGTTTGAAATCGAGGTGAAAAATCTCCAAAAGTATCAATTGGAGTACTTAGATTATCTTGAAATGTGGGGTATATGTTGGTTGAATAACTTGAGGCAAAATAAGTTTCACAATTTGCAGCAGCCCATTGATCATTAGGAAAAACACGAGTCTCATAACCCCATTCAGGAATAAAGTCCAGTCTATCATCAAAATATAGAATGTTAGCAGCCATAAACTATATAAAAAAACAGAAAAATAAATAAAAAAATGAAAACAAGATGAAATAAAAAAGAAACAAATAACTAGCCCCAATCCCCGGCAACGGCGTAAAAAATTGACAGGTTGTTGGCCTGTGCAATAATAAAACCTACTCAAACTAAAAGTAATTTTTGTAGATAGCGATGAGTAGGGTCGAATCCACAGGGATTGGGAGTAATTGTTTCTTTTCAAATTCACAGTGACAAGGGGGTGTTTTTATATCAGGGGTGACAATTTAAGCAATTCAACTAAAAGTAAAATAATAAAAATAAAATAGCCAACTAGAAATTAAATAACAATTTACTAAAATCAAATGAATGATAATTAAGGATCTAGCCAAGGAATAATTTCAGCAATGGTTCACCTAATTGATCATTGAAACAAAGGCAATTCCAATTATTTACTAATAAATAGGTTATAACTGCCAAACAAGCGATGACAATCAACCCCTCCTTACTGTGTCGGTGATTAAGGTACGCCCGTTAATCACTACTCTAATTGAGAAATAATCTTAGGTACGCCCGTAAGATTTAATTTCCCAATTGCTTTACGTATTAGAGGAGTCCTATTCTAACCAAATAACACACTACCAGGGTTATTTTAAATTAACCCGCGTATTCCCCTGACACAAACCCAATCATGCCAGTTATCACTATTTTGAGACAATTAAATAATTACGGATTTAACGTTCTAATTGACAATAGATTATCAAATTAATTAATTATCCGGATCCAAGACAATCAATTAATTAAATAATCATAAGTACTGTAACCAAGGAATATACGAATACCAATAAATAAAAGAAAAAGGTAAAATTAAATCGATCTCATAATTTTAGGCGAGTCAAAGCCTCCGTTACTCCTTGATTAGAAAAAGGGGTTTAGCTCATTATTGATGAAAAAATCCCATACAAAACTGCATAAATAGTTGCGACGTACATTCTCCCAATTAAGGAGGAAAAAAAGGTGGAAAACCGAATAATGGAAAAAAAGACTACTTGGTCAAAAAAAATGATGACCCCTTATTTCTACCCTAAGTGTAACATACGTGGACTCAAAACCACTAAAGGACAAAATTGTCCAAAGCCCAAGAAAAGTCTTCTGCTACTCCCTGTACCTATTGAATTACTAATCTATTCTAATGCTCGGCTCTCATGTGCGGTGGCCCACCAGGAGAGAAACGACTCCAACCTTTTGTGCTTCTTTTTTGAATGTTGTCTTCCGCAAATTACTAAAAAAGACTTGTGTCTCCTTGTTCCAAAATATCCCTGAAGACCTTCCATTTGAATTCTTTCCCGATGACTGTTAAATTGGCCTTGATTGTGATATTTTTATTCTACTCCCTGAAATAAATGTAAATTACGAAAAGTGAGTAAAATCTAATAATAAATCCACATCAGGTCAGGTAAAAGGAAAAATTAATAATAAAATAAATAATGAAATTGTAACCGATCAAATTCTGAGATTGATTAACTCAATATGCATCACATACTCATGTAGTCAGTCAACTGTTTATGCGAAATTGCGGCAACATATGATTACGCTTCTGAGGTTCATTACGAGAAAAACAAATCTAAGCCTTCTGATATAGCATGCTTGGGTTCAGGAATTCTTCATCTATATTGTTAATACTTTATTTAGAATTCTAATTAGGGTAGATTTCTATATTTTTATTTATTTTTAATTAATAATATTAGTATTAGTATTAAATGTGTCAATAAGGATCCTAAATGCATCAGACACGTAGTTGATTTTGTTTAAAACTTTACATATTATTTTCTTTAGGGCTTTTGTAAAAAGAATTTCCTCCTAATAATTCAAATATTGTTGGTTTTATCAAATTGTTGAGAAATTTCTCTTATTTTTATGAATCTTGATTTATTGCTGGGTTTTGTTCGTGTAATGATTGTCATTTGAAAGGTGTTCATGAAACCCCTTCTATTTTTATGCTTTCGCTACCGCATTAATCACGCATGTAAACCTAGATTAACACAGCTTCTCTTGATAAAGTTTCAAGTGGAAGAAGGAAAAGTCTTACAATATTTATCAGCACCATGCCCCACCATCTTCCCTCCCCACCACATACACAAAAAATTTCACGTGAAAGAAGGAAAATTCTTGCTATATTTATCTGTACCATGCCCCACCATCCCTCTCCACCACACAAGCAAAAAAGAGATCCTTGCAGGCAGCGTGTATGCAAAAGAAGAGAATCTTGATGGCAATGTGTTATAGTTGTTAGATCACACGAAAGTTGCATAAATTTGAATTTGGATTTTTTTCCAAACATATTACTACAAACATATATATAGTCAATCATTTATTTATTTATTTATATTTATAGTTATATGGTTTTGTTTTTCCAATCGGCATGGATATTCGTTACACAATCCCAATTATTATATGTTTTGCATTTAAGCACTCTTTCAAATTAATTATACTTTTTAAAAAACCACATGAGACTCCTTTCACCAGATATTCAACAGGTAACAATTAGTCAAACCATATATGTCTCTGGTCTCATAAGTTGGAATTTGTCCAATCCAACTGGTTGGTCTAGTTCTTCCCCTTTTTGGTGTAAAATCGTCCAAATCGGTTGTAAATTTAAATTTAGGGCAAAAATCCTCAGCGGCCACTAAACTATTGGTCAGATCATGTTTTGGCCATCAAACTATTTTTCGTTAGTAATTGGCCACTAAACAACTTAATCAGTAAATCCGTGACCATTTAGTCGATAATTGCTCTTAATATGTGAAATTAGCTGTATACGTGGCAAAGTGCAGGGTAATTTTGTCCAATAATTATGCGATCCTATTTCACAGATTAATTGCTAATTTTACAGATTAAGAACAATTATCGACTAAATGTCATGAGTTTACTGATTAAGTTGTTTAGTGACCAATTATTAACGAAAAATAGTTTGATAGTCAAAATATGATCTGACCAATAGTTTAGTGGCCGCTGAGATTTTTTACCCTTAAATTTATCATCTCATATAACTAAATTTGTATAAAATTCAAAATTATATCAAAACTCTACAAACTTACACCAAATATGCTAATGATCGTTTTACGATAACTTAACATGCCATTTCTTGTGCTGCATCTCTAATTTCTAGTCATTTGGTCATCAAAATTTCTGAGATTGATTAACTCAATATCTGTCCACAGTTATCGTGAAATCTGAGCCTACTGATATAGCATGCTTGTTCTACCCAGTGACCAAGAATTACATAAAGGAAATTTTAGAGCAAACACGTATTCTACCACACGTGTCAAAGTCATCTGCCACACTTGCCAAATTCTTGATTAACACAGCATCTTCTCTGGATAAAGCTTCACGCGGAAGAAGAAGGAAAAGTCTTGTAATACTTATCAGTGCCACGCCCACCATCCCTCGTCCCCACCACACGCGCAAAAATCAAAGAGAGTTCCTTATAACAAAATAGTGAGCCCTTACCGACTGCTACCAGTACTACTTTCTCACTGCAAAAAGTCTTGCATGTACGAGTTCTTTCATTTTGGTTGAAATCATCATCTTCCTCGGAATGTTCTTCTTTTTCTTGAACTTAATTTTGAGTGAGTAGGTGCAAGATATACTGGGAATTTTTTTGCATATTCACTAGATCACCAGCTATTGCCAGGGATTTCATTTTCTCTCAAGTGAGTGCTGAATTTCGTTTTTTTTTTTAAGTTTAAAGTTTTTCTTTTTAAACGTGGCTTCACCATATAAATGGAATTTCTGCAGATTCAACAGATCACTTGTTGCCATAGCGGTCATTCTCTCCAAAGTAAGTGCTGAATTTCTTTTTCTTTTCTTTTTTCCACACATTTATTATTTTGTGGTTGAAATGTACATGGCTTCCATGTGTTCTTGACACTTCATACTCGCATATCATCGCTTCACTTATGCCTGGGACGTAATAGGAGGAAATTTCAGCTTTTTTATTTGACTCAGCATTAGATAAATCAAATTTTGATTTGAATACATACAGTGCTAAAAGTACTGAAGCCTTTTTTTTTTTTTTAAAAAAAAAAAAAAAAAAAAAGAGGATTTAATAGTGGTGTCTCACTTAATCCTTGATGATTTGAACCCCTGACCTATCGATTTTAGGTGAAGCAATTATGTGAACGAATTTCATGTGATATTTATTATATGATGAGTAACTATGATATTAATATGGGCCAATTATGCTTTACCCTTCTATGGTTTAATGTTTTTCTACATAACCCCTCTATGATTTCAAAATTATACATAACTCTCTCATGGTTTGAATTAAAGTGTCAAAATAACTAAAATAGTCCTTCGTAGCTTTTAAAAATGTCGAAATTACCCTTATAAATACATGACAAACTAATCTCATATAGTTTTTATGTTTTACCATATAATCCCTTTATGGTTTAATACTTTACCGTATAACACTCTTATGGTTTTCAAAATATACACATAACCCCCTTGGTTAATAAATACTTTTTAATTTTACATAAGAGTATTTTTGATATTTTAGTTGTTCCATTACAATGATAATTTCCGTCACTTTGACACTTTACTCCAAACCATGAGAGGGTTATGCATAACTTTTAAAATCATAGGAGGGTTATGTAAAAAAACTCTAAACCACAGGAGGGTAAACTATAATGTGCCCTATTAATATTTGTTTTCACTTCACAAGATTTTTCGTACTTGTAGGTTGTTATTATTTCTCGGTGCATGTAGAAAACCAAAAAAAGAAAAAATGATTTAGATGGTTTACAGGCTCAAGTTATCTCACACGGGAAAAGGAGTAAAATTGTTATTCTTATTATACAACTTTTTAAATTTGGAGAAGTTGCCAAATTAAAAAATTAGAAAAAAGAAGCATTAAAACATCAGCACTCACATACATTAGCAATTAAAAAACAATTTTCTCTAAAATCCTTAAATGTATTTAGTTATACATTCTTAAACAATAGCCATGGATCATTTTCTTCTGATTTTTCTATTGTTTATTTTGACCGCTAACCTAATTGATATTTCTCATTTTGTTCATTTTTAGTGCTGGCGGATTTGATTGAAACTACAATACTATATATTGATTTTCTTTCATCTATTTTTTTCCCTTTCACGTTTTGTGGTAAAAAATATTGTTGCGGTAAAAAAGGTTGTGGCAAATTACAAAGCCATCAGGCCTCAGCTGAATGCATCTCTAATGTTTTAATCTTTGATATGGGGACCCCAACAGCTTATGCCTGTTGTATCGATGCGAGCTTCCCTTGACAAAGTTTCGAGAGGAAGAAGGTAAAGTCTTGCAATATTTTAGCACCACCTTGCCACACACAAAAAAGAAGAAAGAATAAAAAAACCAGAGAGATAAGAGTCTTGACGGCAAACTGTGAATATTGTTAGATCATTAGAAAGTTGTTGATCTTGAATATCAATGGCTACAATAGGCAGAAATCTCATTTCTCAGTGAAAAGCAGGTACCATGACGAACATCTCCTTCAGCAGTAGCACTAGTTGCTTCGATGTTGCTCGGGAGTATCTGGACGACTTAGACGGTGCGTCCAAATGTCTGTTCGAATCTCATATCTGGGAGCTGAAGATGGGGATAAGTCTATTGGAAACATTTGATCTGTATATTAGAAAGTTTAGGAGGAAGAGGAGCAAAGAGTGTATGTGTTTGGAATATGATAAGGAGGACAGGGGTGATGCTGAGTCTGACAGTTTGAGGCTCAGCAGTATCTCTTTCAGGATTCAGGATCTGGTTAGTGGAATAAAGCATGAACTTGGCTCAGCAGTATCGCTTGATGACACCAAACGCAAGCTCGGCAGATTCGAGGAAAATATGCGGTTGATTTTTGATTCAGACATCAAGGAATCCAACATCTGTAGTTTATTGCTTCACAACTTGCTTGGAGATTTCCAACTGGTTATGGATATCACTGATTCCATTTTAGAGAATCTGAGGCATCTTTGCACCAGAAATTACAGGGATGATGGAGCTCTGCAAAGTGTAATGGGAACCCTTCAAGAGAAGCTAATGTTCTTGAAGAGTTTCATTTGCTTTGCAACATTACATGGTGTTAAGGGTCAGCAATTAGTAGATCTGTTAGTTCACATTGAAGTTGTGGCCATTAATGCTGCAAGCCTGATCTCTACATCTTGGTTTCAGAGAAATGATGAAAAGGTGTGCAACGAGATGGAATCTGAAATTTCTCAACTGATACAAAAGAAGATTGATCCCGTTGATCTCCAAGTCCGAGAAACTTATATCCACGTCTTGACAGCGTCCAAGTTGTCACCATCATCACACACTTTAGCCCTGGAGAAGAATAAGCACCTAGTGGCCGAATTTATTGATGATCTTTTACATATTATTATGGAGCTAACAGAATCTTACACCAGTTTCTTGGTTCCGGTGAAGGATCAATTACTAAAACTTTATGAGGGAGCAAGATTCCTGAGTGTCCTTCTCAGCCAGCAGCACGAGAAATTCGATAAGCTAAATGATGAAATGAAGGATCGTATTGGATTTGTACTCTGTGATGCTGGAATTGTGATTTTCTCCCTTTATAAGAGTGAAATGACAGAAAGCTTGCCCAAGGAAATAGATCTTGTGGCTTCTCATATGCTCGAACTGCTCAAGCTCATTATTCCAGAAATTGAACAGATTTGTCCACAACAACCACCATCATCATCAATTAGTTTCCCTAGGACTAATGAGCTGGGCTCTATTGATTTTCTTTTAGAAACTCTCGAGGAACTTGAAAGTTCTACAGCTAATTCAATTGCTTTCCCAAATAATCAAATCCACACAGTTCGTGAAGATCTTGATTTCTTAAGACCTTTCCTAGGCAAGATTGCAGAGCAGCGGAAGGGGAATGAAAAACTCCAAGCTCTTTGGAGTCGTATTAGTGAGCTGGCATACAGGGCAGAAATAATCATTGACTCTACACTACTTGGTGGCAAACATCAACATTGTTTGGATGTTATTGCTGGAGATATCAAGCTTATGAAGATTGAGGCCAAAGAGATTTATGATAACATACGATTTGACTGTGAAACCCAGAGTATTGTCAAGACTACAATTCACATGCCATCACAAGTTACTGCTCCAATATTTAATGAAGCTGTGGTGGGTCTCAATGATGAGGGGGAAATTATAATTGATGGACTTGTAAGGGGACCAAGCCGGTTGGATATTGTTGCCATTGTGGGTATGCCTGGTCTTGGTAAGACAACATTAGCCAATAAAGTTTATGGTGATCCATTGGTAAAGTCCCACTTTCACATTCGTTCTTGGTGTTGTTTTTCTCGAGCATATACCAAGCATAGTTTGTTAGTTCAAATGTTGTGTAATATCGATTGTGGGAACTCAGCTGGATATCTTCGGAGAGATGAAGATTACATGGCTAACAGGCTACGCAAATTGTTGAAGGGAAATAGGTATCTCATAGTTCTGGATGATGTTTGGGACATTCGGGGTTGGGATTTATTGAAACTCTCACTGCCAGATGATTGCAATGGAAGCAGGATTCTCTTAACCAGTAGATTGCAGGAATTGTCATTGCAAATTAAACTTGATAGTGAGCCTCACCATCTTCGCCCACTTACAGATAATGAAAGCTGCGAATTGCTGCAGAAAAAGCTATTTGCCAAAGAAGATTGTCCTCCAATATTAAGTAATGTTTTACTGCATGCAGCAAAAAACTGTAAAGGCCTACCTCTCACAGTTGTCCTTGTTGCCGGAATTCTTGCTACTACTGAGCAAGATTGCTGGGAAGAAGTTGTAAAACATTTAACTTCCAGCATTTTTGTTGACAATGAATATTGCATGAAGACAATTGAATTAAGTTACAATAATTTACCAGATTATTTGAAACCATGCCTTCTTTACTTCGGTGCATTTCAAGAAGACCAAGAAATTCCTATCCGAAGGTTGTTATGGATTTGGATCTCTGAAGGATTCGTGCAAAAGACTGAAGGAAAGAGCTTAGAGGATGTGGCAGATGACTATTTGATGGATCTGGTTAGGAGAAGTTTAGTTATGGCTACCCAACAAAGATCTTCAGGTGGGATCAAAGCTTGCCGAATCCATGATTTGGTACATGAGTTTTGCGTGGCGAAAGCTAAAGAAGAAAGTTTTCTACAGATTTTACATGTGGGTAACCTTTTAACTTTTACTGGACCATGTAACCTCCATCGATTGTCTATTCACCCCACCATGACTATGGGGCCTACAAAATCAAGACTGTTTTCTCCCAATTTGCGTTGTTTGCTCTTCTGTGGTGATAGTCATACACAGCTGGATAAGAATTCATTCAAATTTCTGCTGTCTAAACTTCTTAGAGTGCTGGATTTCTGGAACAATTCTTATCCGACTTCATATTTTCCAAGGGAAGTAGTATTCCTCGTTCACTTGAGGTACTTGAGAATTGGAAGGTTTGCTGGGGATATCCCATCTGCAATAGCCAACCTCTCAAGGTTAGAAACTTTTGTAGTAGAAGCACGCGCTGAAGATTATGTGTTACCAAACACTATCTGGAACATTGAAACATTGAGGCATCTTGTCACATCATTGCCCGCCTGTGGTTTCATATTTCCCAAGGACAATCTTGAAGGCTCCCCTGATTTAAAACATTTAGACACTTTAAGTCTTGCAATGAATCCCTATTCTCAAAGTGCACAAAAGATACTGTCAAAGTTACAGAGCACCCGCAGGCTAACAATAGCGACATACGAAAGTTACCGAGCAATCGAATCTGGTGGAAATCACGGGGAGATTCTCATGCTGAACTACATGAGTCGACTAGAATCACTTAAGATAAGCAGGATGAGTAGAGATGAGTTTGAATTCTCATTGAATTTGAATTTGAAAAAGTTGACTCTCTCCTATAATTATTGGCCGTGGAGTAAAATTTCTGCAATTGGAAGAAAGCTGCCCAACCTTGTAGTGCTTAAATTATGCCATCGTTCCGTTCGGGAGGAAGAATGGGAAATGGCAGAAGGGGAATTCTGTAACCTCCGATTTTTGAAATTGTCAGGGTTGTACATTCGCAGGTGGACTGCCTCTTCTGATAATTTTTCCTGTCTTGAGAAATTGGTTTTGGAGTTTTGTGAGGAGCTGGAAGAGGTCCCTCCTTGTTTAGGGGAAAGCGTCACTCTTAAAATGATTGAGTTGAAAAGGTGTAGTGAGTCTGCTGTAAATTCTGTGGAGCAAATTCTGCAAGAACAGAGAGAATGGGGAAACAAGGACTTAAAGAGCGTCATTATTAGATCTACTCAGAAAGGGAGTCAAAGCAGAGAAGAATTCCACTCATGAGGTTAGATCCACTCCCATAGTACTAATTGTACATGTTGGATCAGTTCAATGATATAATCATTCATATTTCGCAAAGCAATTCCTGGAGGTTTTCAGTTCTTTGATTTGAATGGTCATGTGTTTATATAATCAAAACTATCTAATTTCTGAAATCCTCTTCAATATGGCTACAGATTGGTATGATCCTTCAAACCAACTGAGCACAAGCATAAATGTCAGGTACACATTTTTATTTCTTCTATACATTTCAGCTTAAGTAATGCAGAGTGGGTTTCTTTTCTTGAAGTAAATAGCTGAATGACCTGAGACTTTCTTTTTCCTTTTTTTTTTAATGCAAAGAATGCTGTATGCGTTTGCAACCTTGTTGGGTAGAATATGTGTATATAGTTAATGACGGCTTGGCAAACATGAGAATCTGTCTTTTTCAGTTTTGTCTTTCTATTTTTTTTTTATCGTCTAGAGACATGAGCTTGTTCCTGCTTATGTCTGCATTTACCAGAGTTAAAACAAAAAAAAAAACTATGTTCTTGTAGTATGTTCTAAAGTATATAAATTAGTTGTGCTTTATCCATCTTCTTTTGATACCTTGATATGCATAAAGAAGCCAAGATCAGTAGGCAAAAAGAAATTAACATGTTGAAGTAAGTATATTCTTTATTTCATGAAGATGAACCCTGTTAGATGGTTCTAATAAATACTATTTTCTGTGTACTTAATCTTTAGTAATAATTTGCTTGAAGATATTTTCATGGATTCTTGTTTTCCCATCTCACTGATTTAGCGAAAAGATGCTGAAAGGTCCTGGGGGTGGTGGAATTTCAAACTAGATGAAAGGATGTAGTACCAGAAAATTCTAAGTATTTAGACTGTTACTATGTTCTTCATCCGACTTAGCATGCATTCTGATGCCCCATTTGCAATTTGTTGGTAAGTTGCATCTTCAACAAGTGGCTTAAATCTATCAATACGAGTCTAATTTAGAATCAATTTCTTTGGCTCGGGCGGTTTCAATGAGTGCGTGTGCGTGTGTGGTTGGGTGAGGGGGAGAGAGAGAGTGAAAGAGATGATCACCATTTTCAGTTTTTCCACAAATCATGTAAGCAGCATTTTGATTTAATCTCTGCACTTTAATTTAAGCACATCTGTTGTGATTTATCCTAGGAGCAATTCTGTTGCATTTTTGAAAGAATAAGCAGCATCAACACTTCAAATTTTTCGAGGTCCAATATTTGTTGGTTGCTGATCAAAGTGGGAAGAGAAGATCTTTCAAGAAGGGAAAAAAGTACGGTGAAATAGATGGAAGAGAAAAATATCCTAACTTCTGACTCATAGATCAACTGCCAGCTAGAGAAAATTGGAAATGAGCAAAAGGCAGGAGTACCAACTGGATGAATATCTTGATGAAGTATCCATTAATATATACTTGTTGGAATGGGACGGGTGAGCTCAGGAAAGTGGTCTCTACCTCTCTGCAAATGGCTATGACAAATGATGCCTGAAAGTGAAACTAGCATTTAATGATTCCATGATGCCTCTACCATGATTCTGCGTTGGTGCATTGATAAGTTTGTTGTACAAGTCGTTTTCTAACACTTCAGAAGGCGAACTACATCATTGATTATAAGTTGCTCATACTAGTTGTGCATTATCCACGTAACTTCCGCTCTTCTAGGATTGGCTATGAAAGATGTTTGTGCAGCATCTACTTATTCACTCTCTCTCATCTTTTGCCGGTCAGTGGAAAGGAGGGTTATCTGGAAGATAGCCTGATAGTCATTGTCTATATAAGAAGTTGATGCTCAATGCTGTCAAAATTTGTCTTGTGCCATTTGATATAAGATCTGAAATGGTCAAAGGGTAAATATAATTTGATGCTAAACTGGCACAGCCAAAGTGGTTTGTTCGTGTCTAATTCTTATGCTTTGTTGTGAAAATTGTAATGAAAGCCATTCGTTCAGGTAGTTCTTCATACTTCCATTAGCCTTTAATCTGGAATTTACTTCACCTGCTTGGTGTTTTGCAGTCAATATATGTTCTCTCTGTTCTTCTCCAACAATTGCATCTTTAGAATTGAAAGACATTTGGAAGGACCAAAAGTACTAGTCCTACCTTTTTTCTGACGATACTCAAGAGCAGATGGTCCAATTTAGTGTTAGCTTTGTGATTTACCAAATATCTTTACAGTTTTCCCAATTTAAGGTTTTCGTGGGCTTTATTTTTCTGCTCTGTTGTTCCATTTCCTCATAAAGCTCAAAAACAGCATATACATAGAATTCAATTTTTTTTTTGCAGGTCCTCCAAGAATGAGCATCTGACGTTAAACAGATATTGGAACTATACTCAAAGCTATTTGCCTGCAATTGTCAGGTTTATGTGCTCCAATTCTCTATTTTTTTTCTTCTATTAGTTTGTTTGATTGATTCAATCACCCAATGGAGCAGAGTTCTACATATACAGAAGGACAACCTAAATAAAACCACAAAGTAGTGCAGCATGCATGAATGACTTGACAGTCTTCATGCACTACTGGCCTGCAGCAAATGCCTTAACCAGCCAAGTATTTATGATGCTGTCAAGGTTCTTCAATTGAATATTTCCAGCGGATGGATCATCTAGTATTTTATCACCCACTGGAGGCTTTGCATGAGCTACTTAACCTTCATGCCCTTCCTGTTTTTGATATTGTTCTTGACAGGTAATCCCTTGATTCTGGGACCATACCTCACTAGCTTGATTATCATCTTAAAAAGTTGTCACTAGTAGCCATTGTTATTCCCTGATGAAACCTACTTCAATAATTGCATCAGGAAGGGGAACAAGTCTTGCAAGAATAGCACTAAAAATTTCATTTGCCGTTAATGAAGTGGAAATGATTGTTGTAAATTTGTAATCAAGTGAAAAATATTTGAATTGCAAGTTTTTTTTTTTCTTAAAAGGAAAACTGTATATACTGAATTGAATTGGATAGTGTGTACCCCTCAGTCTTTAACTTGGAATACATGATGGAGATTTGAGAAGTATAAGAAGGATAAAATTCTAGTTCTTGTTTATGGTATTTGTGTCTGTTTTTGTTCGTTACATGAATATAATTTCGCATAATACTGATAACAACAACATTCACAAGATAATGCTCATTATTTACAATTTGTTCAAAATACTTTACAATGATAATATACAATTTACAGTCTGTTGGAAACTTTATACATTGTCCACCTCCCCACTTTTTTCCCTCACTCTTTTTCTTTACATCTTTCTCCCCAGTCTCCATAACTAAACCAAAATTCTCCACAAAAATTCATAAGGTCAGTTCATTTTGATGAATTAGCGTTGCCTAATTACTAAAACTACCCAAACTTGAGCCGAACAATAATGTTTTCCATTTTCCCTTCTTTTCTCTGTAGCCATGCCCACCAAAATTAGGCAACCAATATGGCCAATAACAGAGATTACTAGTGCAATGATGTCAAGCAATCCAGAACAATGAAAATGTGAGACTTTAGCCGTGTTTTGCTCATTTTGCATATGTTCTACGAAATGGTTGAACTTTCTATTCATACTATGTCTTAAGAAAAATCCTGTTTTGATTGAAGGAAATTGTAATGCTAGCCATCAATCATGAAAAATGTCTCTTTCTCATTTCAACCTCTGATGCCCATTTACTTCTGGCTTGTCTACCTTTTACTTTGACATCTCCGATAAATTGATTGAAGTTCATTTTGTTCATTTATGGTGCTTCATGGATCTTAGATTAGTTCAATATTTACACTGCAGTAATCTTCCTTTTTTTTTTTTTTAAGTTACGGATTTGATATCCTATTGTAATGGCTCTGGAAAATAATTCACATTTTGAATTGCCTCATCAAAATTGCAGCCTTACGGCACTACCAAATCTTTACCCCCCCCCCCCCCAAAAAAAAAAAAACAGAGAATGGAGAACTGCTACTAATTTAGAAGAAAGGCGGTGGTAGATGTTTGTTTTGAATTTGTCATTATTGTAAGTTACAAAGCCTTCAGGCCCTCAGCTAAAAATGCATCCCCATTTTTTGACATTTATGTATCAAAATTTATTAGATTACTCAAGATAATGGACTCATCTCCTCAATGTACAACATCAGTTCATAATAATATAGTCAGTCAACTGACAACAGTTCAACCCAAATGTCTGCAACATTATAGGCTTACAGTTGGTAGTGTCTAGCTACCATATGATTATGCTTCTAAGATTCATTTGATATTGAGATAGTTGCCAATTCAGAACTCGAAGTAACACACTTAGAAGAACTAACTACAGCATCTTTCGTTTTAATAACTCACAAAAAAGGTCAAAAGCTTGTATAATTAATACATAATACCTGCACCAATTAATAACACTCTGGTTTCTGAAGATCGATGAAGGTAAGATACAAATATAAACTCCAGATAGTCCTCGTGCACAAGCCCAAAAATTTCCTCACGGTAAGTACACATATAGCATGCTTGTCTGAAGAAAAATTTAGGAGCGGAGTGCAATAGCATTCTGCTAGTCTTTAGTAACCATTCAGGTTGGCTTCAACCTGTTAAATGATGACCTGCAGATGATGCTATATTAAGGAATTAAATAGGGATGTTAAAGAGCGACATTAGACAGGGTAGGACTTATAAAGACTTTTGATCTGTATGTGAGAAATTGGTGGAGGAGATACCGTGGAACGCTTTTGGAACATGATCAGGAGGAGTTGCAATAAAATTATCAAGCTGGATTTTCTGAGTCAACTGGAATCACTCAAATTGGTTCAGTTTTCTGTACGTGAGTTTGGTTTTAACTTTCCCCCTGAATTTAAAAGAATTGGCGCTCTCATGTCATTGCGAGTGATCCAGACAGCCATGGAGTGAAAATGCAATGAGATTTGGATGTTATCTTGACAATGAGAGGGGAAGGAGAGAGTTGATTTCCTTATCACATGTTAAAATGGTGAACCGTTCACCTCTATTCTGTGCTGGTAGATGCAGAAGAGAGTCAACGGAGGTTGGGATTCTGCAATTTAGGTTAGATATAGTAGTACAGTACTAATATTATCTGTTGACTGAATTCATTAATTAAGTTATTCAAATTTGTCAAAACAATTCTTCTAGTTTCTCAATGCTTTGGTTTGGATTTGATGCTATAGCTTCAAGATTGCAGTGACACGAACTGTCAAGCACAATGGAAGTCAACATTTTGTTTTTTCGTATCAGACTCTGTTCCTAAAACGTTTTTTTCGTTCAATGTCTGGCTGAGTTTACAATTGTGTACTGAGACATACTTTTTGTGCCGTGGCAGATCTTGTATGATACTTCTGCACAAGCACTTATGTATAAATATATGCAGAAACACACCAAAGCTGTGATTCAATTTGGTAAGGTATGGGATCTGCTATTTGTAAAGTTTCAGCTTCCCTATATTTTCCTGATTTTCTTTTCTTGCTTCAGTTCTCTTGTAGTTCTGATCACAATCAGCGTAAACGGCCCTCTGCAAATTCAACATGAGAGAGCGACATGCTTGTCCGTCATCTTGAGGTCCCAATGACCTCAAATTTTGCGATTGGATCTTAGCTTAAGTTTTGTCTTCTATGTTTAATAGATGAGCTTGTTCCCGCTTATCTCAGCTTTTGGGCAGATTTTGTTACGCAATGTTTTTGTAGATTGTTGAAAACTTTGTACCCTTCTTGTGCTTTAGACTTGACCATTAGCCATCTTGTTCTGACATTTTGATGTGCATAAATAAGCCAAAGTAAAAAATTTTCAAAAGTTGTGGTTAGAATGTTTTCTTCATTTCTTGAAGCTCACCCACTTCATATGGTTTGAATGACTACTCCTGTTGTGTATCTTTGATAGAATCTTTCCGAACTTTTTCTTTGAAACAATTCATGCTTCTAGATTGTTCATCTAATCTATCAGTGAAAACCTGCTGAAAGTTTATGGAGGTGGAGGAAATGAGCAAATAAAAAAAAATACCTTGATAAATGGATTTCCTACCACTTTAGTTCAGATCTGAATTCCCTTTTGGTTGCCAAAGTTGCATCTTGAGCAGGTATCTTTGAATCTTGAGAATCACAGTCTGTCTCATATAAAATCAAGATTTTCAAGGTTGGGCAGCTTGCAGTGTGCATGTGAAACTGTGAGATAGAGAGATGAAGATGGTGGTCATTTTCTTTATGATGCCCAATCTTATATCAGAATCTTGGGTTTCACATCTTAAGAGAAGACTAGGAGGTATAAAACGCGCGATGCACGTAGGTGACTAAAGGTAATATGCCTTGTCAAATATGTGGATTAAGGGAGTGATTGAATTTTGGTGCATTCTTCTTTTATGCAACATTGCATGCAAATCCTCTTTTTTTTTTTTTTTTTTTGTATATCAGTATGAATATGCATGGCAGTTGACAGAGGGAAAAATATCACTGAGCTATATAGATTAAGGTTGATAATCCAAAAGTCCATTAAACTTCAAGACAATGCAAAGACTTCAAATCCATTGCATTACATGAATTTGGCAACGATGATGATAATGTACCTGGCTGCTGCACTGGATAGTAAAATCACAAACTATAAAAGCGAGGTATTCTCTATATTTTCAGAAAACCTAATAACTTGCAGGTTGAAACCTTGTAAGTTGATGCTATATCTTTTTGGATTCATCACCCGTGGCTTCTGACGTAATTTCACAAAGTAATTGAAAGCAACTAAAACTTATCCATTGCTGCAGAAATAGTTGTAGCAAAGACCGATAAATTCTTCAAGAAGATAATACTGGAGAAAACAGGGAATAACCTTACATTGCATTTCAAAAGAAGCATTAAAACATGGAAGATTACTGATACAGTAAAATGCCAGTTTACTGATACATTACTGATAGGATGTTAATTGTTAGTAATTTTATTGTTAATTCTCCTCTTTATCCTTGCCAAATATTGCTTTAATTGTCAATATATATTTATATTTGGTATTTGGATATAATTTCAGAAAGTGGAGCAGAAAAGTGCTAAAAGGGAACCTTCTTGAGAAGATCTCTCCACACGTGAAAGCTTCTAAAAGCTTTCCACAATCAGCCCAAATTGTGCAAACCAACGGAATTGCTGATGAAGAGTTGCCTTCCTATTATTAAGTCCTGACAAGTCCACTAGCAATAAGAAGTCAAAAGGAGAGAATTCTGCAGGGACCACGTAACATTGATTTAGAAAATGTGTTCTTCTTTTGGGAGATGTACTCATTAGCCATAGGTGGACTTTGATGATGAAAGTAGCTTTTCTATTTGCTTCCTACGTAACTAGTTCTCATATAAAACTAGTGCAGAGGAGAATGAGAGAGGGCCGGACATTTTACAGAATCAGTTTTTCTTCTTCTCTTCTGTCTGGGAAGAGAAGTTTTTAGTTTTGGGGGTGAAGATTTCTCGTGTGTCTTGTTTTCTTCCGTCTCTTCCATGAGACTATTTTTATTGTATTAGACTACAGAGAATACAATTCTTATTTTTAATTATTAGTAAGAGATAAATGTCTTTGAGTTCAATTAAATTGCGTGGGAATTTTCTTATGAGGCGTGGCTAATTTTCTCCTCTAGTCAAGGATCAACGCGAAGACGCAGTCCCAAATATCTGTGAGATCTAATTAATTTTACGTGTTCCTTAATTTGTTAATATTTGCATGTTTTCTATTTTAATTTCCATGGGATTATTTTGTTAATTGGATATCAAGGGACCGATGTGCAATTTGACTTATTAATCTCTTGTCAAATTAATCAATTAAATCCTTAATTGTTTAGTTGGTTAATATTAGTGACAACTAGTATTTTCACATACTAGGAGAACATGCAATCTGATTTAAATAACCCTCGTAGCGTGTTATTAATTTGGATTAGGCTTTTCTAGTTTTTAATGCAATTAGGAAATTAATTCCTACGGTCGTACCTAGGAGTATTTCCTGGTTAGGGGTAATCAATGGTCGTACCTTGGTTATCAATAAATTAAGGAAAAACTGGTCGTTAGAGTTTATCGGCGACTATAACTAGCCTATTAATTAAATTAAGTGAACCTTCTTTGCATCAATGATCGGATGAATGGACTGTGTCTGCGTAGTTGTATCCTTGGCTAGAATTTATTTATCATTTATTTAATTGCTATTTACAATTGTATTAATTAATTATTTATCTTTGGTTAAATTGTTTAATTATTTTTAGTTAAATTGTTTAATTATTTATTTTTAGTTTTATCTGATAAAAATCCCCCGTGTCCCGAACTTGAAAAGAATCGAATTTTTTCCAATCCCTGTGGATTCGACCCTACTCACTACTATACACAGAAAATTCATTTTTCTCGAGTAGATATTTATTATTGCACAGGCTCGACACCTGTCAATTTTTGGCGCCGTTGTCGGGGATTGGCGTTAATTATTTGTTTCTTTTTAAGTTCATTTTTGTTCTAATTTTCTGGTATTTTTTTCTAGTTTATGCCTCGCTCTTCTCGTACAGGCGAATTAGTTTTCGACCCTGAAGTAGAGAAGACCGCGCGTAGAACGAGGAAAGAAACCAGGCGGCTCAGAGAAGAGCAATACGGTATTGCACCTCAGGGACTAGATCCAGAGGTTGAGCCGATAAATTTGTCTGGTGACAATTCGAGTGATTCAGACCAAGAGGAAGTCACTATGGCAAATACACGAACATTAAGGGAGTTGGCTGCTCCTGATTTAAATCAGCAGCCCTTGTGCATTACTTTTCCAAATTTAAATGATGACACTCCCTTTGAACTAAAATCTGGTTTAATTCATCTCTTGCCATCTTTCCATGGTCTACCAGGTGAGGAGCCCTACAAGCACTTGCAAGAGTTTGACGTCGTTTGCAACAGTATGAAGCCTCCGGGAATTACAGAAGAGCAAATAAAGATGAGGGCTTTCCCCT